ACCAAGACGATTACAATTTCTTTTTTATTTTAATTTTTTTACTTATGCTATTTAAGCATTCAAATGTCTCGGAGATTTATTTATCTCAGTTTAAACATTGATGATGATTGAGACGGAGATGTTCTACGCTTTTCCCTATAATTGACATCATTTGCTGATGTAGGCGGACAATGTATTTGTATTTTATGTTTGAACTTATGCGATTTCAATTTGCACGATTTCTCATAATATATATATATATATATATCGATCGAGACGTGAAAAAAGAGAAAAGAAAAAGAAAATCAAGATACTAAACCTATGCTAAAAGTTTCAATTTGAACAATGATATCAATACTAGTGCAACTGCAAATTGATTCTCGGATGTCATTGGAATTTGAACGAACGCTGAGATTGAAACTTAGCCGCCATGACGTAATTTATAAGAATATGCTTTTTTATTTATTTTTTTTTTTTTTTTTTGCTTAAGATTAGTAAAGTACTGAACTTCTTTCAAATAATGCTTATCTCCTTTTATACAAGTGTAATGAACATATGCGCGACGTTTGCTTATAGTACCCAAACTGACTTATATATAATTCTCATTTTATTTAATCATATTTTCCCACTTTCTATGAATAATGCGCCATTTAAAATTATGGATTTTTTTTCCCAAGAGTATACAATGCTGTGTAAAGCAGGGGGCGAGTGTACTATAGAAGCATATAGTAAAGAAATAATCATTACAATTCATGCGTTCTACACTCTACACTCTACAATAATCGTAATAGAAAAAATTAAACACACATATGTATATTCACACACATCTACACACCTACATATATATATATATATATATATATATATATATTTATATATACCATTCGCTAAGTCTCCGGTCTGACACGTACACGGAAACTTCGTTCACAGACCCATATGATTTTGCATGAGAAAGATCTGTTAGAAGTAAAAGCTGCGGTTGCTCACACCAAGGAACGATATTTCGATGACTGGGAGTTCTATCCGGAGCTGCTATAGACGTTCATCGAAACTGTTAAAAATCAGTTGGCAAGATTATCACATCCGTATTTCGGGACATTTCGGGCATTGTATTTTGTTCATCAACTATCTTGAAAAGAAATAAAGGATTAATAGCGAATATCACATGTGATTATTGGTTCAAATGGATGTAAAAATCAAAAAAAAGAAAAGTCCTTATATGCAAAAGGAAAAAGTATTGCTTCTCAAAGACAATGCCTCTCTCACATAAAATAAGTTGATGAAAGCGACGGTTATATTGAAGGAATTGCTTCCCTACCCACCGCATTCCCCAAATCTGGCCGCCAACAACTACCGATATTTCGCAGATATCAAAAAGATGCTTCGAAGAGAAAAAAATTGACTTCAATGAAGAGGTTATTGCCGACCCTGAGACCTATTTTGAGAGCAAAGACAAATCATTCAACGGAAAAGGCATCAAAAAGTTGGATCAGCCTTGAAATTAACGCATTACACTTGAAGGAAAGCATGTCGACGAAAAACGTTGAATCTCTAAAAAAATAAATTGAATTTTCTTACACACACACAATTCGACCGGAGACTTATTGAATGGTACGACTACGCGCATGTACATATATCATTAAGTTAAAAAAAAAAAAAAAAAAAATTTTTTTAATCTAAATAGCTTTACTTAGTGTCAATGTATACAATTTAAACCATTATAGAGATTTATAGTGTATTGAAGACGTAATAGATAGTCCTTAGAACATTCCATAAATATTACATATAGCAATTATAATTTCAACTTAAATGTACAGCATATATATATGTGTATAACAATAGTTACAAATTATAACATATTCGAGTTTTCTCTATTTTCACCATTTTCATAACATGTCTTGGCACGTTTCAATTCATTAATATTATCATCGTCTTGCGCATAAATATAAACCTTTCAGCAAAGTCAGTCCTATACCTATAATAGCACAATAGTGTCGTAACGTCTATCACTAATATCGCTTAACAAAAGGCGACACATAAACGTAATCATACAAAAAATTCATACCTTCGTATAGTCTTGATTAGCGCACAATTTTCACTGGTCTCTCCTACGCATATCTAACAACGTTTACTCGTTATACCGTTCGCTAAAGATGGCACCATACTTAACGTCAATGGAGAACGTTGCAGAGAAACATGATTAACATAATGATTATTTTTTGTAGAATGAAGTAGGCGATCGACTTGGGCGATATGTGATTTTAATGCAATTGCGCAACATGCCATAGATACTCTGAAACATAACATGAAATTATATTGAAACAAAAGTAACATCAACCGATATATAAACTCGAAGATAAAATTCATATTAATTAAAATCTTTTACTGTTTAGCTTTAATTAATATAAAGATTAATAAAAATGAAAAAAACAAAAAAAAATTAATTTGATTCATGCATCGGCCGGGAATCGAACCCGGGCCGCCAGCGTGGCAGGCTAGCATTCTACCACTGAACCACCGATGCTTTTGCACCCGCCTGCACTTTTAGCATAAATATACAGTACTACTACGTAAAGTAAACGTACATTATATACTTTATTATTAAATGAAGATTGATGGCTAGCTGGCTGGACTGGCTGACTGATTATATAAACAAAAAAATCCAGAAAAATAAAGCTACAGCAAATATTTATATATAATTAACTGCTTTACTTAATGCATATTTCATATCATTTACATGTCTCGACGCGGCTGGTTCTTTCTTTATAAATATATACTGTTTTTACTCCATTCATCATTAACTGTGCTTTGTTATTTTGTCCGAATAAATGATTTACATTTACAATTTTATTTCATTATTCAGGTTTGCAATGCAATGCAAAAATTTTAGTTTAACAAATTTATACTTTACTCCTTCGCTACATTCGTATTCGTATGTGAGAGACATAACTTTAAAACGAAACGAAAGGTATACCAAATTCTTAGCATGCTAAACTAGTTATCGTCGTTTTTAATACGTTAGCAAAGATATTTAAGAATAAATTTTACATTACATAAAACTAATAATGTAAAAATGTAATTACATAAAACTAATAAAATAATTCGACGTTTTGCTTGTTTTTGAATTTTTTTTTTTTTTTTTTTTTCATGATTTTACACGTTTTAGTATTTGGTTAAAGATTTTCAAAGTGCTTTTTAGTTTGTTGTTACACTTACTCGTTACTTGTCAATGTTATCATTGTCGTTGTTGTTTTTATTGTTCTTTTTAAACCTTAGGTTATTGATTTTTTGTTTTTTTTTTCTTTTTATTATTATTACTATTATTATTATTTTCTTTTGTATTAAGCAAAAGTTTCCTGCTGCTTATTGTTTCCGCTTTTACTTAAGTTTATCTTGTTCAAGAGATTTTCTTTTCTTATCCTATCTGCTCTTAAGCACTGATGACCAGGCAAACAAGAAAATATATAATATTTCTAGCAATCAAAAGGAAAAAAGAAAAATTCCTTTTATACAATTTTTAAAGGATCGAATTTCAAGGTTATTTGTTTTATATATAAAAAATCTTATGTATTGCACTTGCAGCTCAGAAAGAAGAAGATTATATTAAGTTATTAATTGAATTCCTTTTAATGAAAGCAAAGCCGATTTAAACGAAATATTGAATTAAAAGTGTATTAAAGTATTAAAAGGCTTTAAGCCAAGCAACCTTGAATATAACATCTAAACTATGTATGTGTTTTTCGTTTTGTTTTGTTTATTTTTCATTTTTATTTTTTTTTAACTTCAGGGTATACAACAAATTAAATTGAGATTTTCAACGATGACCATGCTTACCGTGACTTCCCATTGAATTGTCCATATGACCTAAGATTTCCATAAATAATAATAATTTTAGCAAGCATTCATCGTAAAGATTATCAACTGTTTGGCAAATCAAGACAATTTGAATTAAAATTTTCATCCCCTTGATATACGCGTGCATATGTATATGAAAGGCATAAGCACACCACACACATTACAATTTACGAGCACATAATAAATTACCATAAATTTAGTCATATGGTGACAGTTGAAATCATCATCACTTAACCCAATGTGTAAAATAATTTAATTAATTTTAATAAAAATTTTACATAAATAAAACGAATGAGAAAATCAGGTTCGTCCAGGGTCGAATTTAGAACATTTTTCGTTACTCGCAAATAACAAGTTATGTATGACAAATAAAAAAACTATAGTGGACCACTACTCATAACCCTTACAGTTATTCTACGATTTTTTAAAATAAGATATTATATGGGAAGTGATCGAAGAAGTAGTCCGATCTGAAGTGTTTTTAATAGCGTTCAAAAAACAGAAAAGCACAAAAAAATACATGGACAAACGGCTTAGATGAGCCTATCTGAAAATTTTCTGAGTTTTACATACGTTCGCACAGACTTAATATACCCTGTACCAGGGTGTAATAATAAAAATATTATTATTATTATTATTATGTAGGGAATACGCAGCGTGGTCTGAAAGATCTATTGTGCTCGCCCAAGCCCCTCGCGTTTCAGTTATAGAGTTCTTATGAATCTATCTTCCTTATTCTCTTTAGTGCCACCAGACCACCAAGCAATATGTGAACTTATAAAGTTTTCGCCAAACACTTTGTGTCTGATTCTACAAATGGTCTCGCATTCACATGGGATATGAAGAGACTTTTCATACATCCTTTGGCAGAATCTGCATGAACCTCTCTTAAGGATATCTATGTGTTTTAGGTGAAATTTTGGGGGTACTGTGACCCGCGTAGACGCCGGTGACCAAACGTAAATTGCTTCGTCTTACTTTTAGTGCATTATATGCTATAGCGGAATATGTTATCAATTTTTTCGCTTGCCATTGCTCTTCTCTTCGCGATATTAGTCTCTAGTCTAGGCTTCTTGGCACGCCATAGCACGGTTACGGGTATATCACGGGCCCTCAGGCTCTCCTATTAGCCCGACCGTCAATCGGTCAGTCCTTGCCTACAATACCTAAATGGCCAGGTATCCGTCCATATTAACTTGACATCATTGTTCTTGTCCAACTGATCCAAGGTTTTGAAGCGCTTCAACACGAACCTAATTGTTATTTTCTGCGTACAAACGCAGCTCATTTTCTTTATATGAGTGATACAAAAATTATTTTTTGAATGGATTTCATTCAAATCTTTAATCATTTATTTATCATGAGGAAATGGTTGTAATTGACAAAGTGTTTTGCTACAAAACAATCATCTTTATTATTAGAATGGATTTTGAAAATTTATTTTATTGTTACTACTGCACAACCAGATAAGGGAAAAGAGAGGTCTGGCAGATCTGCAAGACATTTGCGCGTCTGGGTGCAGAAGGTTTCTACTTTCTTGAGAGTACGTTTCTCGAAGGTTGACACGCCACCCACCGAAACAATGCAATAATCATTGATGATGCCAACGTCATGACCATGTCTAAATCAAATTATCGTTAATAAGATGATAAAAACGATTTTTTCTTTTTCATTTCATGTATACCTTGGCCATTTGAGATCACCACAATGCCACCATTCCTTGCGCTCAAAATCAAAGTTATCGATATCCGACAGAGAGATTGGAAGGCCGTTCTTGTCAAGGCCAAGACCACCAACAAGGTAAAGTTCACCATTTCCCATTACACAAAATCTTCCAAACAATCTAAAAGTAAATCATAACAACTTCATAACATACAGTGTAGAGCAGAATTTGCTCAAAAGCATCCTAATACGTTATCTAAGCAAGATTAAAATCTAATTTTTTGCCTTTTATTTTTTTATCAGAGAAGAAGTTGAAGTCAAAGTCAAGATGTGAAGTAAAATTTTGCTTTTCCCAATATGCCAACGTCTTAATATTCTCTGAATATTCATGAGGAGTAAATATACTGCATTTTTTTGTGCTTTTTTTTTTTTTTGGATTGTTATGTAATTATTGTATTATGAGTGAGTATTTACTACTATTTTAAGCCTAATCGAGGCAATTCCATTAAGAAGTAAATATGGTTTTGAATTTCTGTAAGAAACGGACAGATGGACAGACATTGCTATATTACATTTATATACATTATAAAATATTTAGCTTCATTTAAATTTAAAAATAACAATCATAATTAAAGGGTACGATTAAATTCAATAAAAAAAATATGCAAAATATTGCATAATATTGCGTAAAGCTTTGGAAGCAAACATTGATTGATGTGTTAAGTAATCCGCTTACCTCGGCATACGCAAATGTAATTTTAATGGAATCCATTGCCCAGTGAAACGTTCGACGCCATCCCCTCCCGCTCCGTGGTCGTTGCCATATGCTAAATTCCTGGTATCGCTATTACTCTCATGAATGCATTTCAAATTGTAAATCTCTATTGTGTCAGTGATTACATTTGCGCTAGTTTTGGTAATCTCGCCGCCATCGTCACCCTCACCGTCACCACCGTCATTACCGTCGTCATCACCACCACCACCACCACCACCGTCACCACCACCACCCATCGCAATAGAGCCCTCCTTGATTATGCCACCCGCTACCCAGATTTCGTTATTAACTATGGCAGCAGCAAATCCATAACGACCCTTATTTAACGGTGCTTTCTGAAATCATAGATACGTATTTACAAAGAGTGACGAGAGTTTATGCACACGTTACAATCAGGACAACAGCTAGCTAGCTAACCAGTGATAGCAGAGCATATTCTCAGTTTCCATATTCGCCTACAATAATTTCACTTTATGAATACACGCCATATAATTAAAATAGTTTTCTAGTTTTATCTATAACGATTGAATTAATTCATTCAAACTAATTGCATGATCAATATTTTCCTGCATTGTGTGCATTACAGCAATGCACTTCACTCTTCTATCTACTTCGCATACACTTTTTCATTATTTTCGATATTCACGTCGAACCCTGAAATTTTGCCTTACTCGTTCCATGGACTTATGTACATATTCCAGAATGCAATCATATTTCCTCTCTCTCTCTTCATTCCTATTCTCTTTATTGCAGTTTTCATTAAACTTTTCTTATTATAGTTTGTACAAATGATTGATTATTCGCTTAGAGAAAATCCCAAGCAAAAAGAATTATTCTTTTCTCTTTTTTTATACCCAGGACTGAGGGATGGGGTTACAGTCAATTTGTTGTTTTTTTTTTTTTTTTTCATAATTCATGTAAAACCCAAAGAGAAGCTTCATAGATCCTATAAAGCACAACATATTCTTGATTAGCATAAAATTCTGCATTAATTAAGTCATGTCTGTCCGTGGAGAGTAAAATGCGGAAAGCATAGTGGTGGCTGTGCGAGATTCGGCCCTTGCCGGATATAACTTTCTTACTTATTTTTTATATTTGATAAGTCACTATGTCCCCTATAGAGGGGGAGATATTGACGCTTGAGAAGAACTATAAATGGAAGGCGATCAAGTTGTGATCAACTTGAAAGTTAAAACATGTGGAACGGTGGTTGAGACTGATTAAGCTGTTAAAGAACTTGAAATTTGCTTCAATAAATCTCTTTTATCTCTGTGGAAAACTTGCCGTGGACGTGCACGTACCTAAGGACTACATAGCCCACATTTCGCCGAAACTCAAGAATTGTTAGAGTGTTGGACACGATTTTTCCGCACATAAGCATCTGAACTCTTCATTGTACGCGATCGAGAGGCCCCAGTTAAGATCTAAATAGTGCTAGGCACATATACGAATCTAAGTTTAGCCGAATGTAGACCGTGCAAACAGTGCGAACAGTGCAGTGGTTCTGTCCAACGAAAGTCATTCTATGTATATTCTCATACCCAGATCATCAAAGTTCTTCAACATTGACGCATTAAGAGCTGCCCGTATTTTGTTGACGTTAAACGTTACCCAGTTGGGCAGATCCGATACCGATATTTTGTCTCGTTTTGTCTCTCCATACGTTGTCTCGTTTCCTTTTATGTTATGTTCTTTGGTTCGAAGAGAACGAACTATGACAGATAGGGTTTTCGGTCCCGCACCTGAGGGGGAGCCATTCAGGGAGAACGTGAAAGAATACAGAGCACTGTCGTACTCGTGCGTTCAGTGAAATTTGTTTGGAATAAATTTATCGATTACAAGTTTTTTTTCTTGAAGGCAAAGACGTATTGTCATTTTCCGTCGACCGCCTTGGCGATAACCAACGCAATAAGTGGCGATAAGGAAAGAATACAGAAGTGACACACAGTGGTTCCCAATGCCAAAATATGAATGGTCGTGAGAAAGAGCTCTAGTTGATTTTGTTGCAGCCCATCAATGTTTGGAATATGCGTAGGTTAGTCCTTAAACTGTGCTTAAACCGTGTTCCTCTCGCCACCTATAACAATTTTCCTGTCATTGCATTTATAAAATATAAAAGATATTGAGTTGAATGCGGTCTCGAAGACACTTGAGGAAACCATCCTTTCCACATTTGGCCAGCCATCAAACTACCCGAAATGCAACGTACGTGCCCAGGTGGTAAATTTTACCCATAGAGATATAAGTTCCGAATCCTAAGAAAGTATCAAAGATCCCATAAAGTATATATTAGATCAAAGAAAAATTTGTAGCATTTTTCCTTATACACGGCTTTAGAATCGCATGGCACTAATCGTAACAAGTCATACTATAACGCGTGTAAAAGATAACAGTCCGTGCATACTTAGAAAGGGAACATTATGACATAATTCAGTCCGAAGTAATTACATTATAAAAAGGGGCGAAGACCATGAGAAATATTCGCTGTTACGTGTTTACAATGCTTTATCAAAGCCAGCAGAACGCAAAAATGTTTTGCTCGTTTACCCTCTGGATATTTTCACGTTGTGACTCCAAACGCCAGATCCTACACTTCGACTTGATAAAGTCGACGAAATGCGTTACAATATTAAGAAAATCCTGTATACTTCATCTTATGACGTTGCTGCGTCGAAATAAAAAAATATTGCAAATTATTTGCAGTCTTACTCTCATGTTGGAATTAATGTGTTTTTTGCGCTCGCTTACCTTTATCCATATTTTACGTCGCACACTATAAAACCAAACTGAATTAAGTGCTACACCGTTTGTGCTCTCACCGCCAATTATAAAAAATCCAATGTCATGTCTACGCATGTCTTTGCTATCTTGGCAATGTGAACATATTGTTGGTTCATTAATGGCTATAACAGCAAAATCTCTGCGTGATTCGGGTAAACTGCTTTCGAAAACCCATTTCAACGTAGTCGGATCAAAGCACCATATAGACTTTTCGAATGTCTAAAAAAAGTTTACAATGCGAAAAACATCTTAAGTAAAACGAATTAAAAAAATTAAATAAATAAATGCATTTTTTCCAACTCAGTTTCAATAATATTTTAAAAAGTATAAAGAGAAAAAGCATATCGAAGCTTAGTGAACGTTCTTTCTTGTTTAACTATAAGGAAGTTGGTCGATAGGTTCAAGGAAACTGTAGATCAAATATTTATTTAACTACTTAACTAACTAAAACGTAACACAAATTTGAATGTAAAGAATAACTTGTCATCCGATCGCGAGCCCTCTCCATCAAGTATCACCGTACGGAGAACGTTCTTTACAATGACTTTACCTCGAAAACTAACGTCCGACCAAACCTATTGGTTTTTCTAAACTACCTTTCAAATGACGATAAAATCGCATCACAGTTCAACCCTCTTGCTTCTTTTCGTATTCATGCTTTATGAAATCAGGCAAATATTATATCCAAGCATATGTTTTCTCTTTCAATTTCCCATTTTCGGATTCCATATGCCGTTCTATGAAAACTTTGCAAACTTGTTTGAAACTTTTACGTTACAGAGACAAACGTCTCTGAGCATTTTCACAGTTTACACACACACACACACACAGTTCACTGTTTACAATTCTTACAATTCTTACAACTGCGAGAACTGCAATGGCAGACAATAATTTCGTTTCTAATTGGTTTGGAGAAAACATTTCCTAAAACCGAAAATTCGATCCCATATGTGGTTCACTTGCAAAACATTAGAAAACATTAGCGC